ACTTTGGTAAAAATGTCCTTAAAATCCTTTCAGAAGTTCATAAATAAGACACAGTGTGTATCTGCAGCCTTTGGTGTCTGTTCTGTCCTCACCTTCATTCGCTCTGCTCTCTTCTTTGATCAGCAGATTGAGACTATCACTAAGGCATGGCCTCTTTTCTTGTGTTTTTATATTTTTTGTCTTCAGTAAAATAGATCCGAACTGTTTGGCAAGGGTGGCAGCAGTTTAGGTCTCAAAGTGGGGGCAAGTTTGTCCCAGAACGGAGGGACATGAGGGCAAAAAAGAGCGCAGTTCGAGGTCCATCTTTACGAGTCGTTTTCCACAATAGCGGTCATACAAACAAAACAAGCCAGTAAGGTACCGAACAGGAAATTCGCATAGTGTAGAGTGGATGTACATTTGACCAATCAGATGTCTCCTGTCCGCGGTCACCTACAATTTGGGAGCAGCAGAATGTCTGCGGAGGGGGCGGAGACATCTCTGTGTTCACCGCGACACCTACGCAGACAACCTAGTTTCAAAGTATAAATCAGCCTTTAGGGTGGAACTGCTTGATCCTCCAAATAATGTCAAATAATCCTTTAAAAATATTCCTGAATCTGTATTATGATCTGAATCATGTTCGCTAGCATGATGCGCATCTCTGGTAAAAATTTTACTAAAATGGCTGAAGTAAAAATATTTTGAAAACATTAAATCAGAGGAAACAACAAAATTAATTTCAATTACTATGTTTTGTTAAAGTTTCATTTCTGGATTGCCTTTTATTTTTCTTATTTTTCTAATTTCCATTCACAAAACAAATTCTTTGCTTGCAAAAATAATGGCACAGAACTGACACCATAGAGAGCCTGAACGCTGCAGAGCATTTCCACTCAGCCTCATGCTTTTTTATAAGCTAAACTGGTTTCACTTTCTCAAATCCTTTATTATTTAAATAAATTGTGTTTTTTTTAATGTGTTTTTTGATCAGCATCACATTTGGAGAATGTCTTCAACAGAACAGCAGTCAGGTTAGTGGTACCATGTGCAATAGATGGTCTCTTTCTCTGGAGATGTGCTCGGCGACAGAAATGACAGCCTCCAAGTAATGACGGGTCTTCTCCTCCTTTAGCAAATGCTCCTCCTTTTGTCTCCTGAGTGCACTCATCTTCCTCTCGGCCTTCCTGATTGATTGACAGAAACGATTGTGTAAGTTCAAAAGTGAGAGAATTTAAAAAGGGAGAAGAGAACTTTGTGATGCAAGAGAAAATGGAGAGATGATAGAACAATGCGTACAGAAAAAGGACTGGATGGACAGAGAGAGGAGGTGAGAACAGAAGAGAGGCAAGGAATTAACTGGATAACTTCAGACGCTACCATCTGCACAAGGACGTGAAACAATCCTTGACTAATCCAACACCCTTCTGACAGTCTTCACACCTCAGAATGAAAAACCTCAAATTAATCTGAGAGCAAGCCTGCTGGGAGCAGAGCATGCTTCCAGAACAAAGGAGATTTTACAGCTCAAGTCCCTGATAAAAAGAAGACAGTCACCATCTATGTTCAACTAGAAGCGACTTAGTGAAAGCGGCACATTAATTAGAGATGAACAGAGAAACCTGCTGGACCCGCCCTGACCTGAGATCAGCTGGATGGAATAAAAAAAAAAAAAGTCATTTTTGATATGTCTGATCTCAATAAATCAGTTCATTAAGTCAAACATGAAACATAGATGAATCCCACAAAGAATAATGGTTTCAAATCCTCTTTTAATTGTGAGGATTTCTTTGCCTACAGGAAATATTAAAAACACACTGAGTATTAAA